ACTTTCAAACTTTTGGCTATCAAGCCCAAAACAATATTTTCTCATACAAAACCCTTACTTAAATGCTAAATAGCACAAAATTTTGGGGTATTACACTCACCCCTCCTAAAAAGGAGTTTTGTCCCCAAAACTCAAATTGAGGACCATATCAAGTGGTGAATGGCTTCACCCAATCCGAGGCAAAACAAATGTCCCACTCACTTTCTATGAACAGACATGGCCTATTACGCTTCCGCTGCGCCACTCTGATATCAAATCACAACTACACATAAAAGCAAGGCACTAGCTACTTAACAGGGTTTACCATGAAATGAGCTACTAGAGGCTGGGATGATATGGGAAGCACAACGAATAAAAATAAATCCTGCCAAGGCCACAAAAGAACAGTTGTGGGGTTACGCTTCGAACCCATCACAAGACAAGTTGACAAAGAATGGCATGGATTTAAAGACAAGTACAACAAAACTTGAACTCTATCAAAGACGGATAAGCATCCAATGGATATATGGATTATGAATGAACGAACAAGTACATGGATGCCTTATAAATTCTGCCACAAAACAAGGTTAACCAAAACCAAGATCATGTTTAACAAAGCAACTGGAATCAAAAGGCAAATTTTAGCAATTAACAAGAGTTAAAAGCTAGACCCATCAAAAGACATGTAAGAATCTCAAGAATTGCAACAGAATAAAATCAATGGAAAATATGAATGCTTGGAAGAATACCAGAACATAAGAGTGCAAGGTAGAATGCCTCAAGAATTTTAGCAACAAAATGGCATTCACCAAGAATCAAGATCAAATTTAACCAAGCAGTCAAAATTGAAAGACAATAGTTAACCATGAAACAAGAAATAGAATTCCAAAAATTAGGCCCATAAAAGAGATTCCAATAATGACAATCAGAACACGGATTCAAGAGCAAATACAATCAGAATGTCAAGATCTAGCACCTCAAGTACTAGAATTAATTAACAGAATAAAGCAATGACTGGGATCAAGATGCTTAGAAGATTACTATCTTCTAATTAAAAGGGCAAACAAAAATCCAAGCAGCCAGATCAAAGAACCATTTCACTTGGAACAAAACTCTAGGGCATCAAGTATTTCAAAGACTACCCCTTTACCTCGTAGCTCATGAAAGCTAAACAGATTTACAATTAAGTCATCCTAGAGTCAAGTCATCCTAGAGTCAAGTCAAAGCTAAGGCATCAAGAATACAGAATTTAACACTTGCAAGAGACAGGAACGAGAATGCCTCATATAGGTATTTTCTAATAATCGTCACCCTTCCTAAAGAGGTGTCCATATGAACAAAAATCAAAATCAAGAAGATCATCAGGTATACTGAAACAAGAACTAACAGAACATGCAGGATTTCAGCAAGAGCAGTATACAGAATTTGAACAAGAACCAGTGTCAGAACAAGAATGGTTTTCAAGGACAATTCAAACTAGATTCCAAAAACAGTGCAAGGATTAATTCCAGACAAAAATCAAGATAATGAGGATTTCAATAATCATTATCCATTTCTGGATTTCAGTTTCAAGAACAAGCACAAGCAATATCAAGAAAGATTCAAGACGGATTTCAAGAGTTCCAAGCAGTTTCCAAGTGTCAAGAATGTAGAGATTGGCAACAATAGAGAGTTTAACTTTATGACAACTTGCCAATCTTCACAAAAAGACAACAATTTCAATTGAATAATCACTGCTCTTGATTAACCAATACAGAAAAATGAACCACATGAAAAGACCACGAAGCTCCAAATGGAAAAAGTGAAATTTCACTATAAGACTTTCAGAAAGATAAGGAGCAGCAGAATTACCAAGTAATCTAGCTCCTAAAACGCATCTAGAAAAACACACAACATTGGCTAAAATAGCATTAAATCTCTTACAAAGTAGAGGGTTTACCCATCCTCCACTGGTCATGTGACAAACAAAACAAATTCTCCACCAGCTATGCTGTAGAGACTAACAGGATCAATAACAAAAGTCT